GGGGAGTGGATGGGTGGGAAGCTGCTGGGCTGCTGCTTCCTCTGCCCCCCAAACTGCCACCCCAACAGCCAAATTCCCCCCTTCACCTCCACATCAGTCCCTTCCCACTCCAACTCCCACCTCTGACTCTACCCTGGATCACCTCTGCTGCCTTGATGAGCTCAGGAGTGGCTGAGATGCTGGTGGGAGGATTCCCACTCTTGGCCTGCTCCTGGGGTGCCTGAACACTATGCTCTCCAGTGCACCCAGACACAGCCCCTGTGGAGCCCTGCAACTGAAGGGGAAGCGGGGCGGGGGGGGGGCAAGGAGCTGGCAGGGAGCTGTGAGGCCTGGTGGGGGCTGGATCCTTGTGCATGGGGGTGGCACAGGCTTTAAGGAGCCTGGGAACCTCCTCCCATAACTGATGTCTCCGCTCTTGGGATGACTGGGAGGGAGAACAGCAATCTGGGGGTGAAGGAGCTAATGAGGGGGTGGAGAGTGATCTGGGGGTGGAGGGAATGATTACAGGGTGCAGGGAGATCCCAAGGCTGATGAGAGTAATGGGGTGATTTGAAGGAAGGGGAAAGTGATCCAAGTGGCATGTGGGAGACCCTTCCACGTTTCCTCCCTGGCCTATACTGTGGCAAGAGAGCCAGCAAGCAGAGCAGACTTGGAGCCTAATTTCATACCTTGTCACATTCCTTCTTGCCAGACCCTCTAACAGCAGATCTGACTCATGCACAGTAAAGAGGGTATTAATCATGAATGTGTGACTAATACCTAGAACTAGTTAACCTTGGCATAGACTAACATTCTTTAGAATTATCACTTGCTAGGAGGACTGGCTGAGAAACTTCTCAGGAAGCAAAGCCTGCCTGTAGAAGCAAGCAGGCTAAGCAACCCACTTAAAAGTCCCACTCTACCTTTGATAGTCTTAAAGTTCAACATTTCACTTGACAGCAAGTCATCTTTGAAAAATGAATAAAAATTAAAGTCTTTATACACACCTACTTGACATGGAAACAATTTAACTATCAAGAAGGATAAAAAAAAAAAAAAAAAAAAAAAAAAAAAAAAAAAAGAATAATATGACTTAAATATTACCTGTGATTACTTTTAGTTGAGGATCTTTGTTGAATATAATTTTTGTGTATTTGACCAGAAAATAAGAATATGTAATGTCCTTCTCTGTTTGCTGAAGGGTGCATCCTAGAACACTGGATTTCAAAAATAATTCCACACACTAAACTTCAATTTTCTTCCAGCAAAGAAACACAGGAGAACAAAGCAGCCTTTCTGGTTAGCAACACATGGCAAAACACATCATCCCACTGCTTCACTCTGGGACAAATTTAAGGCACTAGCTCTTATTACTAAAATGCCTAATTTATATGTAAGACCTCCTTATTCTAAGCATGCCCCCCTTGGAAAGCTAGAAGAATCCAGAAAGCTGTATATACATCAGATCAGACACACACACCCACAAATCTGGAATTCTCTTCTGGAAGAGAATAGTGTGGCCATAAAACCAAGAAAGGTAAAACTGTAATGAAAACCTGACTTTTGCCACAACTCCAAAGTCTACTCTCTTTC